TTGTAATCCGCTCGGACATTCTCCTTTCCTGGTACATGTTCTGCTGTGATATACAAGTCTCTGTTCACGCACCACTCCCATAGATCGAGAGCTATGTCTAGCAATCTCTGAGATCTCGTTCCTCCGAGACGATTCAGATATGCGACTACCGTCACATTGTCCGTGAGGACCTTCACGTGCTTGCTGACTAGCTCCTTGCAGAACGCTCGAACCGTCAGTGACGCTGCACGCAGTTCTAGGATGTTTATGTGTGCCTGTCCTTTCTCGACAGACCACCGGCCTCCTGTATGTACGCCGTTGCTGTACCCACCCCAGCCGGCAGTAGAGGCATCCGTCTCCACCACAATGTCTGCTGCGGGTGAGAGGATTGGACGACTGTTGTGTCTGGGTAGGTGATCTGTCCACCATCTTAAGTCTGCTCTTGCTGATTCTGTCAGTGGTACGAGCTGTTCCCAGTGACCTCTTGTCACACGCAGAACTGTGATGAGCAGACGCTGCAAACTTCTGAAGTGCAGCGACGCCAGCCATACGGACGTGGTTGTGGCTTGTAGCCTGCCAATCACGCTTGCTAACTCTCTTGCCGACATCCCTCTGTCTGCAGTCAGTACGTCTTGTGCTAACTGCTGTAGCTCTAGAACTTTGCTCTCGGGGAGAAAAGTAACCATCTGTGTTGTGTCGATGCTGGAACCGAGGAAGGTTATGCGCTGTGATGGCTCTAGAACAGACTTCTCGAGGTTGGGGACGAATCCCAGCCTTGACAGGAGCTCTATGGCTGCCCAAAGAGCTTCTCGGCATGCTTCTCTGGAGCGGCCGATCACCAAGATGTCGTCCAAGTACACCACTAGACGAAACCCCCGTCTTCGCAGGATAACCACAGGAACTTTCAACACTTTCGTGAAGACCCTCTGGGCGGTCGCCACGCCGAAGGGCAGGCACTGGAACTGGTAAAACCGGCCCTGCCACTGAAAAGGTGAGGAACCGGCGACTGTCCGCATCTACCGGGATGGTAAAGTATGCGTCCTTGAGATCCAACTTTGCCATAAAATCTCCTGGTCGAACCAGGTTCTTGATAACTCCCAGAGCTTCCATCTTGAATTTCTGAACATTTAAGAACTTGTTTAATGGTTTCAGGTTGATAACAGTACGAAGACCTCCTGTCTTTTTTGGCACTGTAAACAAAGTTGAAACAAACTGATTGTGTTGATACCGAACTTCCTTTATTGCCCCTATGGCAAGTAGAGTCTCTACCTCTCCACTCAGAACTTCTATCTGAGCTGGACTTCTTGCTCAACAAGATGGCAGATGTCGTTGCACCGGAGGCGTTCTCGCAAATTCCAACCTGTACCCCCTGACGCACTGAAGAACCCAAGGATCGGAAGTCAACTGCCTCCACTCCTGCCTGAAGTGGGCTAGCCTGCCTCCGTGAAGTAGCTGAGTAGTGTTGGGTACATGTTGAAATTCGGTCAAACGCCGGCGTGCTTCTCCCTCTGAAGCCGTGTCTGTTACTTGGACTGCTTCTGCTTCCCGTCCCCCGACTTAGACTGAAAGGACTGGTTGCGGTTGTAGAACTGTCGGGTTTGTGAACCCCTGTAACTGTACTGGCCATAATTGGCCCGTGGCATGTAGCGGGAGTTTCTGTAGCTGTAGCTGAACCCTCCGCCAGTTGCTCTGCCGCCGCCGCGACGAGCACCACGCCTCGGCACTGAAGACTTCCCCTGGTCGTCCTGGCTGAGCATGCCAACCAACACTTTCGTCTCTGACGACAAGTCCTTAGCCTCTTCAGATGCTGCCTTGAAAAGGTCTCTAAACTTCTTCTGGGATGACTCTGCTATGAACGTGCGTCGGGTGAACGCCAACTGAGAATGTAGCGACCCCAGCAACACAAGTGCTGAACCAGCACAGTCACTCATCTCTAGCTGCAACTCTTCAAAGTTCTCACTATTACAACGCTGAATCATCTGCCACAGATTCATCAAAGGTGTACCAATATGCACCAAGTTCGAATGGATGTTCTTTAGAGCCTTATCATGAGAAATGATCTGCTCACCCTGCTTCTTGTCATTGTCGACGACAGCCCTGGCTATGTTGTCGTTGAAACTCGGTGCAACCATCGTGGATGGAGCGTTGTCGGGCATGCTGAACTTCTGCTGCCACGCCTCTAAGTCTG